ACACACACACACACACACACACACACACACACACACACACACACACACACACACACACACAAGGACTGAGCACAAAGGAAGCCATGACGATTATTTACATAAAGGTATTGGGGCCTCTGTTTTTACATGGCTTCCTAGTCTTCAGGGACATATTATCGATAATTAATTTCGCCTGTCCAAATATTGATGAGAGAGAGGGGGGTGGAAAGAGAGAGAGGAGGGGAGGGAGGGGAGAGAGGGAGAGATAAGGTAAGGAGAGAGAGGGGGAGAAAGAAAATCAGGAAGTATGAGGAGGGAAAAAGGAGGGAGAAAGGGGGGGTTGAAGTAAGAGGAGGGATGGGACAAGGTGAAGTGGGGATAGAGAGGGGCAGAGGTGGGGTAGGAAGAGAGAAAGTGTGAAGGGGTGAGATGTTCATTGTGACACATCGGCTCACCATCCCAACATCGGCCCCTTTTTGGCTAGAAACAGATCAGGATTTTTTTGGTGTAAAATTCAGAAACTCCATCATCCTTTTACAGGGAAAAGTTGAGGGTTTTGTTCATATTATTATTCAACACTCAACTAGATACACTGAGTCGTAGAAGAGTAGGCCATAAGGCCGCCATCTCAACAAAATGTAGAATTTTTAAAAATGCTCTATTGTAATATATAGAAAGATATCCCTATCACATAATTTGTAAAATCTCTCTTTCTTGATTTCAAATGTACGGACTATGTTTCTCATTTGAGCGGCACATATTTATTATTATGTACAGGACAAAAAGGGAAATAAATGGGGTACTCGATTAGAAACAGACAGACAGACGAGCAAAGTCGTATAGGAGGAGGGGAGACAACTTACATTTGCGACTTCCAGATCTGTCATGAAATACTCTCCCTTGTCGTAGGTGTCTAGTGAAGACATGGGCGGGAAATAAATAAATGTTCTGGTCAGTTAGTGCGTTATGGTCAGTAGAAAGATCAGATAAAGTACTTGTTGCATGTAAGCATGCACAGTGATACTCAAAATATACAACATTGCACAACTCACCCACATGCATACCTTACCAGTGTGTCTGTGGTCATGAGCGCTCTCTCTCTCTCTCTCTCTCTCTCTCTCTCTCTCTCTCTCTCTCTCTCTCTCTCTC